CGAGGTTTTAGCAGTTTGCTGCTCTGAAAAATTCAGGTGTGTGTTAACACAATGCCAAGAAGAAAACACATCAGCAATGATCATAGAGAAGCAACTATTGCTGCCCATCAGTCTGGGAAAGTTTATAAGGCAATTTCCAAACAATCTAAAGTCCACCACTCTAGAGCAATGAAGATTATACACAATGGGAAAACATTCAAGACAGCTGTAAGCCTTCCCAGGAGTGAACATCCAGGCAAATTCATCCCAAGGTCAGACTTTGCAATGCTCAGAGAAATTGCATAAGACCAAAACATTACATCTCAGACTCTACAGGCCTCAGTTAGCATGTTAAATTTCATGACAGTACAAGTATGGTTGGCATGAAGTGTTGCCAGGAGAAAGTCTCTTCTCTCTGAAAAGAACATGGCAGAGGTTTTACAAAGCTGCATCTGGACAAACCACAAGACTTCTTTAACAATGTTCATTGGACACAAGATCAAAATGGAGGTTTGGCCATCATTCACAGTGCCACATTTGGCAAAAACCAAGCACAGCACACCAGCACAAATAAAGTAAAGTTTCCCCTTGTCATTTAGTCCAGCTGTGTCCGACACTAAGGCATGGTGCTCATCCCCATTTCCAAGCCATAGAGCCAGCGCCACCACGTCCCTCAATCAGCACAAATACCTCATGCCAAATGTCAAGCATGATGGTGAAGGGGTGATGATTTGGACTTGTTTTGCACCCACAAAACCTGAGCACCTTGCAGTTATTGAGTCACCCATGAATTCTACAGTATACTAAAGTTTTTTTAGAGTCAAATGTGATGCCATCTGTCCAATAGCTAGAGCGCAGGCAAAACTGGGTCATGCAATAGGACAATGATCCTGAGCACACCAGCAAATCCAAAAGAATGGGTGAAAAAAAGAAAAGAAACAAGGTGTTGAAATGCCCCAGTTAAAGTCTTGACCTCAACATAAATGAAATGCTGTTGCAGGACCTTAAGAGAACTGTGCATAAACAAAGGTCCACAAACCTCAAAGAACCTAAGCAAGGTATTAAAGAAGAGTGGGCCAAAATTTCTCCACAATGATGTCAGAGACTGAAAAAGTCATAAAGAAAACAATTACAGTGGTGCCTCACATAGCGATGTTAATCGGTGCAGCAAAAATCGCTGCAAAGCGATTTCGTCGCTATGCAATTTTAAAAAGCCCATAGGAATGCATTGAAACCCCTTCAATGTGTTCCTATGGGCTTAAAACTGACCTTTAAGCGAAGATCCTCCATACGGCAGGCCTTTTTCACTGTCCGGTAAGCGAGGAATCCATCCCTAAACACAGCAGGCGGCCATTTTTTTTTACCCCCGGCCATTTTGGAACTGCCAATCAGCTGGGGGAAAATCATCGCTTTGCGATAATCGGTAAGCGAAACAGGGTACCAATCATCGCAAAGCGATTTTTCCCCATTTAAAACATTGCAAAAAGTTCATCAGTATGCGATTTCGTTGTTAAACAGGGCGCCCGTTAAGCGAGGCACCACTGTACTTCAAGTTACTGTTGCTAAAGGTAGTCATACAAGCTATTGAATCATATGGTGCACTTAGTTTTCAATGGCTTCTCCATTTGGACGTTATTTCTGTAAAATAAATCATGACACAATATAATATGTCGTGTGTACATCCGAGGTTGTAGTTACCTAATGTTCAGACCTGCTAAGGATTAGAAGATTTTTATTAGTTCTAAAACCATAGAATTCCAAGAAGATGTACTTTCCTTTTCACATAATGGTATTTGGGCTTATATGCACTCATTTTGTCACTCATGCATAATTCTGGATACAGCCACTGACAGAGTACATCATGTACAAATGAGATCAGTATAACAGACAACTGTGATCTTTGTGGTAGTCTGTAAACAATTTTACTCTTTTGTATCTACGCAAAGTGAAATGCCATGGGCAACATGGCCTTTAGAACATACATTTAACTCCTGGAGGAGCATCCTAACATAGTTCTACATAATTTGCTCTTCTTCATCACCACCACCATCATGTTCCTTCATTCCTGATGACACCCTCCAATATTGTTTTCTTTCAGAACAAAGGGCAGAAGGTATCGTATCAACATATATGTGTGACATACAGTTTGCCTCTAAGAGCAGTGTATTTTCTTCTCCAAGACAAAAACAGAACAGCAGAAACCAGGATAATAATTCTTCAAAATGCAGAATATGGGACAGGATAATTGGTTGGGTTAAGATCCCTTTTTTATTTAAAACAGGATCATCCTGGAAGTGTTAGTCACCATGTGGACATTTTCAAAGTTTGGCTATAAATAAGCAAACATCTATCTATAGTAGAAAGAAAAGAGGGGAAACAGTTTTTGATAGAAAGTTTTGTTGCTTCCTGAAAAGAATTACATTCAACACAAAGCAAGCAGATTATATGGAAACACAAAGGCAAAAAATGAATTTGAATGGATATTCAGATTAAAAAGCACAGCCCCAAGCAAAGCATTCTGCTCCTAACTGCTTTACATTGAAGTTTATACTAAGTGATCTATAGGCAGGTAATTCTTCATTCAGTTACCGGATTTACTTCTGATATATGCAAGAATAATAGAATATAATTTATTCCTGTTGTTTGATTCTGCAGATATATACAACAAAAAGAACTATTACTATTCTACCCACCCATCCCAAAAAATCCAAGTCCTAAATTTCGCGTTGGAAATACTATGCTGGTGACAGCATGGCAGAATAGTCACTTGGAAACAATAATTGTTCCAAAGGTTACTGAAGTACACTATCATTTAAACAACTATCCTATCAAGTCACTTAATGATCTGGTTTAAACTACAAGGTCACAAAGAATGAACTTTGAAAAACTAAGAAGTCTATTTAGAGAAAATGAACTGCAGCAACTGCAGGTCATCTGCAGAGGCCTAAAAGAAACTTGACAGACACACATACACACAAAAAAACCCCACAAAACATGGCTACTCTGTTTCAATTACCTTTTTTTTTGCTCCATAAGATGCAGTTTCCCCCCCAAAAAAAGTGGAGGGAAAAGCGTGTGCGTCTTATGGGGTGAATACTGCCCCCCCAGCCCCATCGCTGCCTTCCCAGGCCTCCAGAGGCCTCAGAAGGCCCCAGCCCACCCTCACCGACACCGTCAGAGGCTTCCCCAGCATACAAAGCACCAGGCACCTGGCCGATTCTCCTTCCTCCTGCTGCTGCATGTCCGGTCCACAGAGCTCCTCCGACCTGCACGCCCCACCCAGGGTGTTCAGCGGCACTTACTTATGAGTAGACCCACACCTTCCGTGGCGCTTACTCATGAGTAGATCAATGCCTTTGTCAGCCCTCCTTACTCATGAGTAAACCCACACCTTCCGCAGCCCTTATTCATGAGTAAACCCGCACCTTCAGCCCCATCCCACCCTCACCAACACCCTCCTACCTTAATCATCGTTGCTGAGGTCTTTTGGCCTCGGAGCCACGCATGTAGAAATGGAGACTGCCTGCCCTTTGCAAAGATGATGGCTGTAGCTTCACTTAGAGATTGGGAAGCTGCAGCTGCCATCTTTGCAAAGGGCAGCCTGGGTTCCCTTAAGGCAGGCTAAGGGAATCCAGGCTGCCCTTTGCAAAGATGGCAGCAGCAGCTTCCCTACCGTAAACGAAGCTGCAGCCATCATCTTTGCAAAGGGCAGCCAGTTTCCCTTTTTACACGCCATGGCTCTGAGGCCAGAAGACCTCAGCAGCGGCAATTAAGATTATGGTGGAGGGGACCCCCGCGGAAGGCAGCGATGGCAGCGGGGGGGACCCCCCAGGAGGCTTTGGACCGATAAGGTGCTGCTTTTTTAAAAAAATGTTCTGGGTGGGTTTTGGAGGGTAGTTTTGGGCTGGGGGTATGTTTCTATGTTGCTTTGTTTTTTGTTAGGTTTTTTTTTGCAGTCCCAGCGTGGGACTTGCACTGTTTATTTATTTAATTGCCCACCCCTGATACAGAGGCATATTTTTTTCCTGTTTTCCTTTTCTAAAAATTATGTGCATCTTATAGCCAGGTGCGTCTTATGGAGCGAAAAATACGGTATGCTTGTAGAATTTTGCAACATTTTGGCTGAATGCAGTCTAAAGCTTGAGGACAGATCCAGGAGGTAGAGGGAGGATCCTACAAATGTGGAATCCCTTCCAGATGCTGCCTCTTCATGGGACAGAGGCAGGAAGGTCACGTGCATGCTCAGCTCAAGAGCTGTTTTATACTTCCTGCTCAGTGACTTACACCCATGCAGTTAACCCAAATTCTGTCACTGTGTTTGAGATCAGACACCATTCAGATCTAGAATCAATACTCTATGTTAGCCCAAGGGCTATTGACAATAAACTTGTGGTCAGTTTAAATCTAATCACCATGTGTTTATTAAATTATCTCAGTTCTCCAGGAGCCATCCATCAGACTTGCCAACAAGCTATTTGCCTTACACAAACGTAACAAAACACCAGACTTTCAGCTAATAACAGTTTCTCATCCTTTGGAAATGCAATACAAAGCACTAATAGTGTCTTCAGGTCATTTTGGAAGGAAGAAATATATAGAGAGATGGTTTCTTTCCTATCAGGGAGATACAGGTTCTCACATGCTGAGTAGAGAGGAAAAGGCACTCCCTATGTCTTCACAGGCTTCTTTGCTATAGTCTTGTCGGCAGCAAAAATCTTTTACTGACTACTCAGCTTACATACAATCTGTGGTCCCTGGTAATGCTTCCAGTCAAATACCATACATGCAAGACAAACATCTGCTCTTTCAACTAAAAATGAAAATTACTAGTGTTAAGCAAACAGGAAACAGAGAGAAGACATTCTAAAATATATATTGTTCTCCTTTAGTATTATCAGATAACTATGATATTGCACATTAAAAACAATACCAAACATATCTAATAAACTTTCCATCATAAAAGCCACTGATTTAAACAACTGATAATAACCGCAGGCTGAATGTATGGGAGTAGAACTTACCACAACTCCGAATTGTTCTGGCTCACAAAGATCATCATATTCATTCTTCAACTCTGCTAAGGCAATGAGTTCCTTCTGTTCAGGAAGGTTCTTAACCAGATTCTAATAAAAGGGGGAAAATTACATTAATTGTCCTTATTTTTCTTATTTAAAAATGCTATAGAAGACAATAAAAAGATCAAATATAAAGATATATAAATACAGCAAGTAAATTTACAGAGATTAGAATAAATAGCAAAGTTTTCCGTTTTGTAATGATAAAAATAATCATGTAATAATGAAGCACAAAACATTAATCTACATTAATCTACTATTCCCTTCTTTCAAAACTAACTTGGTCTTCTGTTATGACTCAGTTCTCAGCAATCCAAAACTGTAATTCACCCAATAGATATTTAGAATACAAATTGGAGACATCAATGAGAAGACTGGTAGACCTGGAATTATTTGGATCAGCTTTGGAGCCTCTATTTTAAATAGGAACAATAATCTTTACTCCCAAGTCTTGAGGTATCTTCCCCTATAATGTTTATATAGATAAATATTACAAGCACAGCAAATCTTCAAGCAAAATAAGATTTAAATAATTTTCCTGGAACATTTCTTGTCCAGTAGCCTTGCTGGCAGGCAAAGAGGTAATCAGACTGTTTATTTCATTAGGAGTGACTGAGTCCCAGTCAGGCACGACAAGAGAACCAAATAGCCCATATTATAAAAGGGTTCTGCTTTAGCTTCAACAAAACATTGTCTAAAAGGCTGAAAAATGAGTATGCCAGAATACTCTCTTATTTCCTCAGTACTAATAACCATAATCTTCTTCCAAAGCAGCCAAGCCTAAACCTGACCAAGATTTCCTTACATGTGCTACATTTTTCTCCCTTAGTAATTTTTGTATTGTTTTTTAGTCATTACGTTGTGTCTGACTCTTCGTGACCCCATGGACCAGAGCACGCCAGGCCCTCCTGTCTTCCACCACCTCCCGGAGTAAGGACAAATTCATGTTGGTCGCTTCAGTCTTCTCTTCACATGAGATGGCCAAAGGACTGGAGTCTCAGCTGAAGCAATCTGTCCTTCCAGTGAGCACTCAGGGTTGACTTCCATCAAAATGGATAGGTTAGTACTCTTTGCAGTCCAGGGGACGCTCAAAAGTCTCCTCCTGCACCACAATTCAAAACCATAAATTCTTCAGCGGTCAGCCTTCTTTATGGTCCAGCTCTCACTTCCATACATCGCTACAGGAAAAACCATAGCTTTGACTATGTGGATATTTGTCAGCAAGGTGGTGTCTCTGCTTTTTAAGATGCTGTCTAGGTTTGTCATTGCTTTCCTCCCAAGAAGCAGGTCTCTTTTAATTTCCTGGTTGCTGTCTCCATCTGCAGTGCTCATGGAGCCCAGGAAAGTAAAATCTGTCACTGCCTCCATATCTTTCCCTTCTATTTGCCAGGAGGTGATGGGACCAGTGGCCATGATCTTAATTTTTTTGATCTTGAGCTTCAGACCATTTTTGCACTCTCCTCTTTCACCCTCATTAAGAAGTTCTTTAATTCCTCCTCACTTTCTGCCATCAGAGTGGGATCATCTGCATATCTGAGGTTGTTGATATTTCTTCCGGCAATCTTAATTCCAGTTTGGGATTCCTCCAGTCCAGCCTTTTGCATGATGTATTCTGCATATAAGTTAAATAAGCAGGGAGACAATATACAGGCTTGTCGTTCCCCTTTCCCAATTTTGAACCAATCAGTTGTTCCATATCTAGTTCTAACTGTTGCTTCCTGTCCCACATATAGATTTCTCAGGAGACAGATAAGGTGGTCAGGCACTCCTATTTCTTTACGAACTTGTCATAGTTTGCTGTGGTCCACACAGTCAAAGACTTTTGCGTAGTCAATGAAGCAGAAGTAGATGTTTTTTCTGGAACTCTCTGCTTTCTCCATAATCCAGCGCATGTTAGCAATTTGGTCTCTAGTTCCTCTCCCCCTTCGAAATCCAGCTTGTACTTCAGGGAGTTCTCGGTTGACATACTGCTGAACCCTGTCTTGGAAGATTTTGAGCATAACCTTGCTAGCGTGTGAAATGAGTGCAACTATACAGTAGTTGGAGCATTCTTTGGCACTGCTCTTCATTGGGATTGGGATGTAGACTGATCTTTTCTAATCCTCTGGCCACTTGCTGGCATATTGAGTGTAGCACCTTAGCAGCATCGTCTTTTAAGATTTTAAATAGTTTGACTGAAATGCCATCACTTCCACTGGCCTTGTTGTTAGCCATGCTTTCTAAATTTATATATTGGGTTAATATACATATATGGAAAGTATACAATTTTTGTATACTTTCCATATAGTCCAATATAAAAACAGTGTTTTTCTACTAAGTCTTCTTGCCTTGGTCTGCTTATTGCTCTGGCTAGGATACATTTTGGGTAGAACAATGAGCAGCCATCCACTCTGTGTGCCTATGTAGAAATGACCACTGGAGGTCTAATTACTTAAACTTTCCAAAGGTTGGTAAAAAGTTGTTCTCCTGAAGATCATCTCAGGAGATATTGAGAGTGAGCTTATTTCTTCTTTAAATTTTCCAGTCCAGCATAACTTTTCGCTAGGTGCTGCCATTATTGACTCTTAGAGAGAAAAATATTTGGACTGGCATATGGCTGTTCTGAGGCCTAGTAAGCACTTTGAATAATTCTAAGTAAGCCAATGCTGAGAGTGAGAGAGTCACTTGCCCCTTAGGCTAGTATATAAATTTGAGTCTTAATCTATGATTGTATGTATCAAAACAGAATTTGAAAACAATGTTACAAATACTTCAACTCTGATAATCCCCTAGTCCTTAGAGGTATGAAGAGAGTAACAGTTTAAGTCAAAGGTCGTCAACCACCGGTCCGTGACCCGGTGCCAGTCCGTGGCCTGAGCTGGACTGGGCCACGGAGACAGACCTCCCAAACCCCCACACACATGCACTCCCCTCCCCACAGCTGCTTTGTGCACACACATCTGTGCCAGCACTGGTGTGAGCACTCCCCACCCCTTCCCGCATGTGCCCGAGTGCCCATACAAAGGGGTGAGCAGGCACACGGGCATGCGTGGAGGCGCTCCTGCACATGCATGATAGGGTGGGGGAGCACTCACGTCAGTGCTGGCGGGGGCACGCGCGCTCCCCCACAGCTTCACGCATGTGCCCAAGAGCATGAGCGTGGGGGATGCCCCACCTTCCTCAGAGGTTCAGCCTGTCCACAGTCCCAAAAAGGTTGGGGACCGCTGGTTTAAGTCTTCAGATGTAACTCCTAATTTATCTCCCATATTACAGTTTTCCCCTCGTCTATTCTGGTATTCATTATCAGCTGCTGGCAAACATGGAGTGACTGTGCACATCCCCACTGGTATAAATGGCAGGACTTATTTCTACAGACTTAGTTCTATTTTCCATTCCACTACACATCAGTAGGTGTGTAAAGGTGACTGTTCTTCAGGGACAAGCTCTAAGCTAAAGAGTTTATCATCAACTATACAGTTTTGTGCTGCATGCAACACAGTTTGGAGTACAGTCTTGACAGTAGTCAAGGATTCACATTCTTTGGCTATAACATTTTGTGTTTTGTTTTGAAAAAAAAGTCAGCTCTTTTAGATTTGCTTCTCATTCAGAAGTAGGCTTAGCAGGCTGTGCCAGGCATGGAGGGCTAGCAAGTACCAATGACACCTAGAGAAGCTTGATTCTTTATTATGATAATATAGGTAAAGGTTCCCCTTGACATTTAGTCCAGTCGTGTCCGACTCTAGGGCTGGTGCTCATCCCCATCTCCAAGCCATAGAGCCAGCATTTGTCCGAAGACAGTTTCCGTGGTGACATTGCCAGCGCGACTACACACGGAACGCTGTACCTTCCCACCAAGGTGGTATCTGTTTATCTACTTGCATTTGCATGCTTTCCAACTGCTAGGTTGGCAGGAGCTGGGAGAAGCGATGGGAGCTCACTCCGTCACGTGGATTCAATCTTACGACTGCTGGTCTTCTGACCCTGCAGCACAGAGGCTTCTGCGGTTTAACCCGAAGCGCCACCACATCCCTCAATGATAATATAAGATCTGAGCAAAACTCTGATGAGATTTCTGTAATCTTGACTCTTTAAGGTTCTTCTGCAGAGAATTTGAATCAAAGGGACTTCTAAC